TTAAGGTGGATTATTATGGTTAAATGACCTTGCCACTCACCTACCCCCATTTAGGCTGCAGAAGTCAGTGAGAATAAATGGCACAATTTTCAATCATTTAAAAAAGTAGTCAAAAGTAGTCTGCATCAATATCACTGTACATAATTGGAGGAATTTGCTGATCACAGCCCTTTCAGGTATTCACAAATCTAACTTTCTCAACAACCTTGGGAAAAAAATCTATTCTTGCTCACATGTAGAGCTACTCATGTGCAGAAAGTTTCCTTCACATTGTTCTGTCAATGTATGAGAAAGCCACAACTGGAAGGGTCACAGGGAAGTGCTAGGCTCTACTTTCTAACTTTCTCAACATGCTTAGAAGGTAGAGCCTAGCACCCCCCCTCAACCCTTCCAGTTGTGGCTTTCTTTTCTTTTCTTTTAAATTAATTAATTTATTTTTTGACAACTAAGAATAAGGTAAGGAATACAGAAGGTAAAGGGGGATATGGGCGAAAAGGGGGGTAGGAGAACACAAAATGTACAATCATCCAATCTGTTCATGTTGCAATATCAAGTCTACTATTGCCCTCCAGCTTTCAACTTACAGTTACATCTTAGTTTAAATCTATGTTACTCAAGCACTATCTGGGGACTGAAGCCATTTGTATAATAAATCCCATTGTTCAGTTGCCTTTTGTACAGTCTTTCAGCACTTCTGATAGAATATCCATTTCTGCCGCTTCCCATATCTTCTCAATGAGTTCCTCTTGTTTCAGTATCTCCGATTTCTTTCAATTCTTAGCATAAAGAATTCTGGCTGCAGTGACTATACATATAACTAGGTAGCGCTTTGTCTTATCTATATGATCTGGTATCATGCTCAGTAAAAACAATTTTGGGGTTAGTGGAACATTACAAAGCAGTATTTTTTTTTTACAGAGTATGTACTGCTATCCAATACTGTTTCTCTACTCTACAAGTCCATCACATATGGTAAAAGCTTCCCTCTCGTGCTTCACACTTCCAACAAACATTTGAAACCTCTGTATAAATCTTTGACAGTTTTTCCGGAGTCATATGCCACCTATAAAACGTCTTGTATATGTTCTCCTTAAAATTTACCAATTTTGTGAGCTTTATGTTATTTTTCCATATTTGCAACTATTGATCAATATCAATATTATGTCCTATATTTTGTGCCCACCTAATCATACATTCTTCACTTGTGGCTTTCTTCATACATTGACAGAACAATGTGAAAGGACAACTTTCTGCTCATGTGAAGCACTAAATGTGAGCAAGAACAGATTTTTCCAAGGTTCCTGCTCACATTGTGACACACTTAATGTCCAGATTCTGTCTCAACCTGCTTACTAATTAACGGAGACATAATGGACAAAGAAGCTTGATGGTGTCAGTAGGAATCATGGTTTATTCCCTCCCCTTTTGCCCCACACAAAGTCATAGGCATTAAGGGCATCTGATAACATTTGCATGGACTAGTGACATTAGGCAATTCCCCCCCACCCCGTACCTTGAATAATATGAGCCGGTGTCAATAGTATGCCAGCTGCTAGTACCTCTACTCTAAGGTATTATAATGATAGGCTCCCATACCCCAAACACTTCAGTATATGCTCCCCTTTGCTAGCATTGAATATCCCACTTGATAAAGCATCTACACATGAAGATTTGATTCAGATTGGAGGAAAATAGCAACTATTATGGCAGGCCTTTCTCATGATCAATTAGTTTACAAATTAATGCTTTAAACTACGGTTTAGAAACGGAGAGATCATTGTTTGGGTTTAACCTTATTGGTATGAGAAATGTCTAATTAAACACTGATTTCCTCAGCCACATAGTACAATCTGGGCTCAAATGCATCTTTTGCACATGCTATGCCAATCACCAGAAAATCTCACAGCAGCCACAGAAAATCAATCTGTGAAATATGGACCACCTCTTTATAAACTGGCTGGCAAGTTAAACTCACAGATGAGAGTACACAGGAGATAGTCTGAGCACACGTGAGTCGATTTCAGCATGTAGGACAACATAGTCATAGGAAATCAGTCTTAATTCCACCACAATTCACTTATTTGCTAAAGACAGCCATTCTTTTGGTAGGTCAGTTGGTGGTTTGCAGGTAGTTTCACCTGTCTCTGAAAGAGTATGTTATATGCAGACAAAGGAGCTTTGTCATTTTGAATAACATGATATGATTCCACATACATCTTTAGTCCTATGGTAAAGATTCCTTCAAATATTTTATCCAGCTAAGTGTCTTGGTCCCAAACTCCTAATTTAAAAATGTTGATAAATGAAGTATCTCTTTAGCTAATAAATGAAGTATCTCTTTAGTTATCCTTTGTCAGCAACATTCATTTTAATGGAAAGTGAGTTTACAGGGTTACATGATTGAACTACTGAGCCAAGTCAGTGTTGGCAAATGATGGGCTAAATTATTGATGTTACACACTAATGAATTCTGATGAGAAATAAAACACAGACATTACATTTCAAGTGGTTCATAATTATTTTTGTACTTTAAAAGCAATTTTATTCTTTTGCCAAATCATACTAGTCTGTAAAACAAAAACATTGGTAGTGATTATAGCTAAAATTAGTGAGTTTGTGGCAAAAATGCTCCTCTGTATTGTCTTTTGGATATGTTATTTCTATGAAGGTTCTCATTTCTTTGTATACTTCTG